GGGGAGAGAGAGAGAGAGAGAGAGAGACAGAGCGTGAGCGGGGGAGGGTCAGAGAGAGAGGGAGACGCAGGATCCGAAGCAGCTCCGGGCTCCGAGCCGTCAGCACAGAGCCCGACGTGGGGCTCGAACCCACAACCGCGAGATCATGACCTGAGCGGAAGTCGGACGCTTCACCGACGGAGCCACCCAGGCGCCCCTTTTTAAAAAAAAAATTTTTTTTAATGTTTAGCCTGTCCTTTCAACATTATCCATTAGACGTCTGTTCAGACCAGAGGACGTTGCATTTAAGGGCCGGCTGTCTAAGCAGATGAGAGGAAAAGGGACTCTCCGTGCCCCTTCCCTCCCGATATTTCATGGAAACATCCATCGCAGCTCAGCCCCGGGGGGCTGAGCTGGGCTCAGCTTTCTGTGATGGTGGCAGGGTTCCGCGCCGTCCAATCTGGTCCCCGCCAGTCTCGTGGGCTCCTGAGTAGCGAAAGGTGACCGAGGCTGGCGAAGTCCTGAAATTCTAACTTGATCTCAGTTTAGCTCACTTACGTGTAAAGTCGCATGTGGCTGGTGGGACTTTTCAGGACCCAAGTGACAGGCAAGTGGTCAGCAGACAGATGAGACTTTTTGTGAAGGTTGGAGATACTTAAAAATAAGATCACATAATTAAAAGTCAGGACGTCCTGCCGCCTGCCACCGCGTGGACGGACCCGGAGGTCACCGTGTGCAGTGACAGGAGCCAGACAGAGAAGGACACGTCCCGCGTGACCCCCACTCACAGGGGGTCCCCAGAGGAGTCCCGTCCACAGAGACAGAGAGTAGACGGTGGGAGCCAGGGGTGGGGCAGGGGGCAGGGAGTCCGTGCTTCATGGGGACAGAGTCTCAGTTTGGGGAGATGGAAAGTTCTGGAGACAGATAGTGGGGGTGAATGCAAGACGGCGTGAGTGTGCCTGATACCAATGAGCCGTGCGCTTAGAAACAGTTAAACGGCGGGGCGCCTGGGTGGCTCAGTCGGCCGGGCGTCCCACCTCGGCTCAGCTCGTGATCTCGCCGTTTGTGGGTTCGAGCCCCGCGTCGGGCTCTGTGCCGACAGCTCAGAGCCTGGAGGCTGCTTCGGGTTCTGTGTCTCTCTCTCTGCCCTTCCCCTGCTCATGGTCTCTCTCAAGAATAAATAAACATCAAAAAAAAATTGAAAAAGAAACAGTTAAGTGGTAAATTTTATGCTATGTCTATTTCACCACCATCTAAAAACTAAATTAAAAAAGATTTAATGAGATAGCATGTCATTACAGCATCAGTGTTTAGAAACGACGCTTACTTAATTAAAAAAAAAAAAAGCTCCCCGGACTATAGAAAGGGAAGGGTAAACCCCTTGACCCCAGTGAAGGGATCTCCATCGTGCGCGGGGGTGAGAAACTGGGGAGTCTCCCCCAAGATCGGAACCAAGAAGGGCCACTCGCTCTCGCCACTTCCGTTCGGTACCGTGCTGGAAGTCCTTGCCTGTGCAATAAGGCAAGAAAAAGGAAATCAGAGGCCTACAGATAAGATGACACAAGGGTCTTACAAAGAAAATCCCGAGCGATCTACGAAAACGCAAACATCTCCTAGAACTACTGAGTGAGCTCAGCGGGGCTGCGGGATACAAGACCGACAGGCGACGGCCAGCCGCGGTTCTCAGCGCTCACAGCGGACAGTTCACCGCCGCGCGGAACAGTGTCGTTCACAGCCGCTCCCAAGCCCACGGTTTTTTGACCGTCAGTACCCACCGGCGCTTTCACACGCATTCGCTGACTTGGCGGCCGGCAAAGCCCGGAGGTGGGTTCTGCCATCTTTCTGCTCCCGGGAAACCACGTGGCTCCGAGAGGTGGTCTGGCCGGCCCCAGGTCACAGGGCGACCTTGACTAAGAGCCAGCTGTGGCCGAGCGCCCTCGCTCTCCACGGATGCAAAGTAACAACACCCTAGACGGAAACGGGGGCGGGGGGGGGGGTGGGGACGCAGCACGGGGAGTGATAACGCCTCCCTCCGGCTGGCGACGTGCTTACTGTGTGCCCCCCACCCCCCACCCCGGTCTGGGGCTCTTTCTTATATTCGCGATCGCCTTTTCTGTCAGGGGACAGCCTCTGAGAGAGACGTGTGGCTGTGCCCACTTCACGGATGAGGAGAACGAGGCCTGCGGCCCTGACCGGGCATCGCCTGAGCGCCCGCCGCGCCCTGCTGCCTGCCGAGGCCGTGTGGGCGCCGGATCCGGAAGAGGGTCCTGTGCCCGAGGCCGGCTGCCCGGGCTGGGCTCTTCCCAACGCGGTGGCCACCGTGCCCAGCCGCGTGGCCGTCCAAGCGGAACTGGCCGGAGCCAAGGGGCCGCTGGCAGCCCGGTCTGGGAGCGGCCACAGGGCTCGGGGCCGAGCCGGGCACGCTCGCCTCGGCTGCTGCCCAGCCCTGCCCAGCCCAGTGGGTCACGACTGGGGCTGCCCCCGTCCGCTCCTGTGGCGGGTCGGGAAACTGAGGCACGGGTCCTCGGCCCGGTGGCGTTCAGGGCACCCTCGATCTTGGCGGGCAGGAGGTGCTGGACACACAGGGTGTGCCAAGCCACGAGGCGCACGGGGAGGGCTCCGCGGCCGTCCGGGGAGGCGTCCCCACGGTCACCCCCACGGGATCCCGAGGGAGCAGAGGGCACGTCGCCTCAGAGGCTCCCGGAGCTGGGATGGGAACTCGGGCGTCCGATCCCGGAAGCCAGGCGTTTAACGCACGGCCGTGGGTCGCAGGTCTGGACGCACAGGCCCACTCATGCAGAAAGTCACCCTGGTGAACGGGGGGGGGGGGGCAACAAAAACAAGTGCCGTGGGTGGGCACTTGCTCACTGTTCCAACCTCAGGCTTCCTTGCCTATAAAATGGGCACAATCAAAAAAAAAATGGGCACAATCACAACGCCAGACGTGTGGCTCTCTTACGGATTGAAGGAGACCTCGAAAATGAGCTGAAGCCCACATTTACGGCCATTTTAGGGATTTAAAATATTCTTTTAAGTTTATTTTGAGAGCGAGAGAGAGAGAGGGAGGGAAACAGAGAATCCCAAGCGGGCTCCACGCCGTCCGCGCTGAACCAGAGCCGGGGCTCGAACTCGATTTGAGCGTGCCCTAGGGGCTCCCGACCCCCGTCCGTATTACCTCTTTACCACCTCTCGGTGATGCCCACACCCGTTTGAAAGAGAGAAGTGAGGCTCAGAACAGTTAAGCAACTTGCCTGAGGGCACACAGCGGTTATGCCTGGCTTTGGAACGTGGCAGGTGGAAGGGGCTGATTCTCCTTCTTTGGCGTCTGGCCGTGACTCCCACCACCTTGGTGTTTGACCTCAGAGACAGATAGGCGGGGCCGGGGGTTCCGTCAGGCTGGGCTCGTGGGTGTCCCCCCCTCCCGCCGCCCCCGCCCCGGTCCCGGGTGGACGCCGTGGGGGCTGCAGAGGGGTTGGCGCGCCTCGCCCTCCATCCAGGCTGCCGGAGCTGATAATGCTGAGCTCAGCGTCTGTCTGTTTCGCCGTCTGCCAAGGAGCCTGATTATTTTTAGATAAGATGGAGGGCGGGCGCCAGGGTGGGAGGGAGCCCCCAAGCCAGGCGGGTGGGTAGCCGCATGGCGGCTGCAGGGGGACGCCCCTCTGCCCTCTCCTGGGGGCCCTGAGTGACAACCCAAGACCAAGGGCTGGGGCCCCGGGGACTTCAAGGGCAGAGGCCGAGGGGAAGGGGCCAAGCGGAGACCCCCGGGCCTGGGCAAGCTCGGGACCGCTTCTCCACGGCGCTGCCCAGCCTGGCCCCGGCATGGAGGCCTCCTCTCCCCCCGGGATGGGGTCCCCTGCAATGTCACCACACCGTCCCCCTCCTTCTCTTTGCAGACGCGGAGCAGAGCGGTAGTCCCCGGGCAGGGATGGGCTCCGACCAGGAGGACAGCAAGCCCATCACGCTGGGTGAGTTTGGGGATGGCGAGGGCTGGGGCGCACGGCCCCATCGTGCTCTCCGTGGCCCCGCGTCGGCACCTCACAGCCAGGCTATAGGCAGGCGCTGGTATTGTTCCATTTTGTAGATGAGAAAACCGAGGCACGGAGAGGTCAAGGGGCCTTCCCAGGGGCAAGCAGGGAGCTGGGGTTGGAACCCACGACTCCGAGCTCCCGCCCTCTGGGCCCTGAGGGGCTCACCCCACAAGAGACGGCCCTGCTTCTGCCCTGGTCTGCTCCCGTAGCCGCCCTCCTGGACCAGAGCAGTCACCTCTACCCTGGTCCCCTGGCTTCTGTCCTCGCTTCCCTGTCTGTCCTAAGGTGGCCAGAGAGTCCCCATGAGCTCTGAGTCAGGTCCTGCCTTCCTCTGCTCACAGTCCTCTAGGGGCCCCACCTCCCTTGGGGCAAAAGTCCCCCCCTGACTCCCAAGGCCCTGCCTGCCCTCCCTTCCTCCCTCTCTTCCCCTCGGTCTCTCTGCTCCAGCCACATGGGCCTCCTAGCTGTTCCTCCAACAGTCCAGGCCCAGTTCCTTTGCATGTGCTTTGCCTTCTATCTGGACAGCTCATTGCTCTCTCGCTCTAGATCACCCAGGTCTTAGCTCACATACTCCCCCTCTCAGATTTGCTGACCTCAGACAGCCTCAGCCACTCTCAATGACCACTTTCTGTTTTATTTCCTTTTGAGGAAGTTAGTGATCGCCTATGTATTTGCTTAGTTGCTTGTTTGCTTCTCTCTCCTAATGCAGCCTCACCTGCTTGAGGGCAGAGGCTTTTGTCTGTCCTGATCACTACTGTGTCCTCAGCGCCTAGGATAGGACCCTGGTACACAACAGGTGCTCAATAAATATTTGCAGAAAGAAAAAAAAAGGAGAGAGGGAGGGAGGGGTGAAGCAGAGACAAAAAGAGAGATGGCACACAGGGGTGGAGGAGGAGAGATAACAGGAAGGAAGGGTGGAAGAAAAAGCAAGTGGGTGAGGACGTCCCCGTTGGAAAGGCCGCACAGGGAGGCCGGATGGTTCCAGGAGCGTCACAGGCCCCCGTGCCGCTCACCACGGGCCGGCTGTGACCCTGAGTCCTCCTTGGCCTCCTGTGATCCTCAGGCGCCTGCCTCCAAGCCAGATGTTCAAGGCAGGCGGGGGCAGCGGCGCTTGGCCTGGTCCCATGGGGAGCTCCAGCGTCTGGCGGAGGAAAGCACTTCCTCCCACCCGCCAGGGAGTCCCCTGGAGATGGAGCTGGGCGAGTGCTGCACAAACAGGAAACCCCGGTGGGGGGAAGGCGGAGGGGCGTGCTGACACCAGCTGGCCAGCTGGGTGGCAGGAAACGGCCGAGGCCACTTCCCCTGGACGCTGGGGATGGGGGGGGGGGGGGGGGGGCCATCGCCCTCTCCTCCCAGGAATGCGGTGGCCCTGAGCCCCCCAGCACGGGGCTGGGCATATAGTAATTGCTCAATAAATGGTGTGCACAAAGCTGGTAACTGGGGAGACTGGAGTTTCCGGACTGGCCAGGACTTGGGTCTCTCACAGCTGGGGAACCGGGCACCCAGGTCGGCTCCCTGTGGCCCGTGCTGCCCCCTGGGGGCCTGGAGAAGAACCGCTCTCGCCACCCCCGAGGCCTAGAGCCGCCCACCTGCTGGTCCCTTCTCCACTCTGACCACCTTCCCTGGCTTCTTTCCCTCCTGTTGCCTCCAGCCCCAGGGCCTTTGCATGGGCCACTGCTGGCAATATCGTGACCCTCAGGGAGGCGGCCAAACCTCCTGTTTAAGATCATCCTGATCGTGGCAGCCGACACTGGCCTGCGTGGCCGTTACCCTGCACCAGGCACCATCCTTGCCACTTCCCAAACTTTAATGTCTCTAGGCCTCTCGGTCCTCTTTCAGGCAGGCTCCCCAACCCTGCCTGCCGACCACCGCCTGACGCGTGGTGCCTTTGCCTTAACGATCTAAAAAAAAAAAAAAACCCAAAACCGTATTGTGGTTAAATTCACATGACAGAACATGTACACTTAGTGGCGTTAACTACATTCGTACTGTTGTGCAACCATTGCCTCTAACTGTCCGCAACACTTTTGTTGCCCTGAAAAGAAGCCCTGTCCCCACCCCTCCTCCCCCTCCCCAGTCCTCGGCCCCCATGAACCCCCCTTCCTGTCCGCGGATGAGCCCGTTCAGGACGTTTCACACCCGTGGACTCACGCCCCGCGTGGCCTCGTGTCGGGTTCCCTCCCTGAGCGTCGTGTGTCCGGGGTCCGTCCGCGGGGTGGGGGTGGGGGTGTGAGAGTCTGGCTCCCAGCCGTCCAACGTCAGCCAAGAGGAGCCACACCTGTTTCCAAATCCGTTAAATGGGTCCCAACCACTACATACCAGAGAGGAGGGTCCCTCTTCCTTTGACATTAGGCAGGCGCGGTTCTGGGGACATGGGGGACTTTAACTGCTGCGGGTGGACCTTCCATTCAGCCCGTGATTCTGAGCCCCTGCCGTGTGCCGGGCTCTGGGCCAGGCACTGGGGACACCGCGGGACCTGGGCACACAGACCTCCCCGTCAGGACAGAGCTCCCAGTCTGGAGGGGGAGGGATAAGGGGCTGCAGAACCACGTGACGCGAGGAGAGCAAGCCAGCCCCTTGCGGCCAGTTGATCCATATCAGCCACCCCGATGGCAGGGTGTGTGGCCCCCACTTTGGAGATTAGGGAGCACGGAGGCTCACGGACAGGAAGGGACTTGCCCAAGAGCACACGCGAAGCGGCAGCCGAGCTGAGATTCGAACGCAGGTCCGGCCTCTGCCTCCGTCTTGCCACGGAGCTGCAGGGGGTGGGCAGGGTGACCACTCCAGCCCCCGGAGTCTGGGTAGCCCAGGGTGTCGAGGAAGGAAACAGACCCAGTGAGTCCCATTTTCTCCCTGTTCCAGACACGACCGACTTCCAGGAGAGCTTCGTCACCTCCGGCGTGTTCAGTGTCACCGAGCTCATCCAGGTGTCCCGGAGTGAGTGTCCCCGCCCACCCTGTGCTGGGATCTGGAGAGGGGAGGGGCGCGGGAGAGGGAGAGGGGGCTTTGGGATGGGGACTCTGAGAAAGAGTCTCAGGGAAAGGGAAGCTGCCCATCACCCTGCCCTACTCCCCTCTGTCACCGAGCTAAGGTGCCTAGGAAGGGCAGTAGGTAGGGGCCCACACGCCCCACCCGCTTTGCCTCCTGTTCCCTTACCTTCCTAATGTACCTGCTGGGGACCCACCCACTCCCCAGACACCCCCACCTGAATTCCAGTGCAGGGACTTCTGGGCACTGTCCTGCCTTAACCCTCACCATCATCCTCCCTGTCCAGATCAGCAGAGCCTGGCCTCAGGGAGCGCTGGGAAGCTAGTCCTCCCGCTCTGGCTATGCCTCTGCCTCACAGTGTGAGCTTGGCCTCTCTCGCTGGCTTTGGGCTTCTGACCCATAGAACGAGGACACTTTCAGCCACGTTAGGAACCAGGCCATTCAGGGGACGGGGTTCCTTTTGGGGCTGGTCAGTCCCCCGGTGGCTCTCCCCACCCCTCCGGGGCAAACTGCAGCCCTGGACCTTGCACCCTCTCTCACTCTGCCCCCTCTCGCCCTCCGCAGCACCCGTGGTGACTGGAACAGGACCCAACTTCTCCCTGGGGGAGCTGCAGGGGCACCTGGCATACGACCTGAATCCAGCCAGCACAGGCATGAGGAGAACGCTACCGAGCACTTCCTCCAGCGGGTACGTGCCCCGGTCCCAGCCTCTGGGCATTCAGCCACCCCTCGCCCACCTCCACCTGGCCCCGGCTGGCTGACTCCTCTCCCTGGAATGCCTGTTTTCAGGGTTCACATGGTAAACTCCTACGTATCCCTCAAAACCCAGCCCCAAGTGCTCCTTTCCCCAGCCCCGATACCCCACCCAGGGCTCCCACAGCCTTGAATCCTATCAGCCCACCCCCTGAGACTCCACGGGAATAGACACTGGTTCTTGCGGAGATACGCTGGGTAACCTTGAGCCGGTCACAGTGCTTGCGTGGATTTCCGCCATCTGTAAAATGGGATCATAGTCCTACCGGGTTGTTCTCAGGTTTACGGTAGGCCGAGTGTTTATCCAGGGTTTTAGTGCGCAGCCTGCCAGCCGGCCGTCTGCGCTCGGCCGAGTGCCTCACTGCCTCTGGCCCCGGGCGTCCCATCCGAGCGACGGGCAGGTTGAGACAGGTGCTCCCCGAACCGGCTGAAAGTCCGCGGGAACCTCGACGTCTCGCGATAGCACCCTCCCCGCCCTGCACCCTGCAAAGGCCCTGCCCCCTACGGACCGGAAGTCAGCCCAAACTGCCCCCGCCACACCCTCGCGTCGCCGTGGTAACCGGCCTGCGCTCTGTTTCCCTCGCCCTTTAGGAGCAAGCGGCACAAATCTGGCTCGATGGAGGAAGACGTGGACACGAGCCCCGGCGGCGATTACTACACCTCGCCCAGCTCTCCCACGAGTAGCAGCCGCAACTGGACGGAGGACATGGAAGGAGGTGGGGCTGGCAGTGGGGGCGGAGCGGGCCTCGGGGCCGGGGTTACCGCGGCGGGGACTACATATTCCGGCAGGCACTGCGCCGGCGCCGGGGAGCGGGAAGCCCTGGGGCTGGGGCCGCGGGGCCTCCTGGGAATTGTAGTCGCGCGGGTCGCTCGCCGCTGGGAAGTCCGGACTCACGTTCCCGGAGCTTCTGGGTTCCGTCGGGGCCGGGGAGGGCGGGGACTGTCCCTCCCGCGGCTTTCCTGCCCTCTGCCCGGTGCAGCCTCGTCTCCGTGGGGCTCCCGACCTGCGGCGTGGACTCGGTGGCGCTTCTGATCGGCAGCGCGCTTCTTCCCGGGGTCCGCCCTACGCTCTCATCTGGAGGGTCCCCGCTGGTGGGTCCCGAGCTGTAGCATGCCCCGTCGCAGGGGTCCTGCTGATCTTCCGAGATTCCCGTCTCCACGGGCTCGGCCTCCGCGCGGTCCCAGGCCTCCTTTTCTCTGAACCTCCTTTTCGGGGAGCGGCTGGCCTCTCACTCGTCTGCCTTTTTAGGGCCCTCCCCAGAACGGGTCCTGTTCTGCAGGGGCGGCATTGCCACAGGCTCCCCAGCGGCCTCCCCCCGAAGGTCTCCGTTCCTCGGGGTCCTCGTCTCCACCGCGGTTCTCCTCCGGAGAACCCGAGTTTCTGCTCTCCCGCGGGCTGGCCTCGGGGCTGCTCGGGGACACTATGCTCAGGGGGGCCCACAAGCTTGCCTTGCCCTGGGCTGGGTGTCCCTGGAAATGCAAAGGCCCCCAGCGGAGTCTGTGTCCCAGAATTTAGAAACGTCGCTCAGTCCAGACCCTTACCCCTTAAAAAGGGTTCACCCCGCGGATTACCCAACGGTTGCCAGCGTGGACTCGGGCCCACCGGCCAGTACAGCCTCTGGTGACCGCACTGCCCTGAGCCTCCGGTTCCTCATCTGTAAAATGGGGTTAATATCTGCACCGCTCTCTAAGGTTGTGGGGATTAAGTGAGTTAATACGTGCGGTGTCCCTAAAACAGGCCTGGCGCATAGTACACACCCAGTAAACCTGAGGATTTGTTTGCTTGCCCTCTGCTTTTTGGTCCCTACTCCCTATTCCCGAAGGGCCAGCTTTCTTATAAAGGTCTGTCTACACGAAGACCATACCTACAGGATTCCTGGAAAGCATTACAGTTAAGAGGGCAGGTTTAAGTGCCAGAGAGACCTGGGTTTGAGATCCAGGTCTGCCATTGGCTCGCTGTGTGGGCTGTGTAACTTTGGGCAGGTGACTTGACTTCTCTGAAGCTCAGTTTTCTTATCTTCAAAATGGGATTGATGAGATAACTCTTCTTTCCTGGAGCTGGGAGGAGGAAATGGTAGAAGGCGCATAAAGCAGCCACCTGGCACACGATGAGAGCCCAGGACACAAGAGAGTTCGTTGTTCGCGTCGTTATAAAATCCCCATGTCTGTGAATGAGTCTCTATCGTGTCTGGTTGTGACATTTGAGCCCCAATGGCCCTCCCTCTTCCATTGTGTTGGCTCCCAGGGCAGGTACCTAACCTTGGGAGGATGTGTCTCCCTAGGAGGCTCTAATTTGTGGGTCAGAGTGTCTCCATGGTTCTCTCTCCCTGTGGGTTCCCCGCTTCTGACAGGTTTGCCTCTGTAAAGATCCTGTGTTTAATAAGCTTTAAGTTCGATTGTGAGAAACAAACCCCAAAAGGACAGTGCATTTCTCTCCAAAGTAAATGTCCAGCCATCAGCAACCCTGAGACTTAGGCTCCCGCCTTTAGCTCCAGTGAATGTGGAACATTTTTTAAAATATTTTTTTAAACTTTATTTTTTTAGAGAGAGAGAGGGAGACAAAGGTCGATTGGGGGGAAGGGCAGAGGGAAAGGGGGAGACACAGAATCTGAGGCAGGCTCCAGGCTCTGAACTGTCGGCACAGAGCCCAGCGCGGGGCTGGAACTCGCCAACTGTGAGATCGTGACCTGAGCTGAAGTCGGATGCTTAGCCAACTGAGCCACCCAAGTGCCCCGAATGTGGAGCATTTTTAAATGTTTATTTATTTATTTATTGAGAGAGAGAAAGAGAGAGCACGAGCAGGGGCAGAGAGGGGGAGAGAGAGAGAGGGAGAATCCCAAGCAGGCTCCACGTTGTCAGCACTGAGTACGATGCAGGGCTCAAACTCATGAACTGTGAAATCATGACCTGAGACGAAAGCAAGAGTCTATCGCTTCACCAACTGAGCCACCCAGGTGCCCCCAAGTGAATATGGTTTTCATTCCCACCTTATGGTCCAAGACAACTGCTGGAGCTCCAGCCCTCATGTCTGCTGTCCAGCCAGCAGGAAAGAAGGGTCAAGTCTGAGCATGTCCTTTCCCTTTAAAAATAATTCTCAGAGGATGCGCTGACCTCTTCTGCTGATCTCTGGGCCCCTGAGTGGCTCCTAGGGCCACACCCTGCCGCAGGGGCTTCTGGGAAATGTAGTCTTATTTTCGGCAAGTACGTGCCCGTCTCAAATTTCAGGGTTCTGCCACTAAGGAAGAGGGGTAGGGCAGATATTGGGAGACTGTTAACTTCTGCCCTGCCTTTAATGATTGGGAACCCCAAAGCGCTTCTCGTTAACGCTGTGATCGACGGGACCGGCCACCTATAAAGCGTGTACTATTTAGAGGTGGAGGGCAGCTTCTGCGATGTAGCCACAGCAGCCCGGAGAGGAAAAATTATAGCCTTAAGTCTATGGATTAGAAAAAGAGAAAGGATGGAAGCCAGAAACAAAAACAAAAACCTAGCTTTCAATGCAGGAAGCTCGAAAAGAGAGAATCAATCAATCAATCAATAAAAGGAAGGAAATGTTCGAGAGAGTCACTGGAGCCTGGTGTGAACTTCCTGCCCTGAGCATGAAGCGGCAGCAGTGGGGGTGGACGAGGAGGCAACTCACACCCCCTTCTGGTGTGCCCCACGGAGTCACAGAGCTGAATCTGTCCTTTGTGGTTTCCACTGGTTGCTTCAGGTGATGGCAGACTGGCTCCCTCCTGTGGGGCCCTCAGTATAACCCCCAGCTGTATGCTGGTCTACACCCTGCAGGTGCGCCCAGCCTGGTGGGGAAGATGGACTCATCTCGCCCCCTCCTCCCTCCTCTTCCTTTCCCTCCTCCTCCCCTCCCCATGTCCTCTTCCCCCTCCCCCACAGTCTCCTCCTCTTGGCTTCCTCCAGCTTCCTGTCTAGACAGCCCCCAATTAGCTGCTCATTAAGGGGGTTAAGCTGATTAGAGCACCCCCTCCCTTCCTCTCCTCCCGCCACAAGGGCAGTGTTCCGCTAACACCCGCCTCCCCCCCGGCATCTGTGCTCCCTTACCTGGGGCGGGGCGGAGGTCTGGGGGATCTGTCGGCCCTACCTCCCAGGCCTTGCGCCAGACTGAGGCCTTTGCCCCCTCTGTGCCCACATTGGGAGTGCCTTTTCTCCTCCTGGCCACCTCCTCCCGAGGCCTTCCCTGGTTACCCACCCAAGCAGGCCAGAAAGGGCCCCCTCTGCTCAGCCCCCGGGAGTGCTTTGTTCCTGCTGCTTCTGTGGCCCTCCTGCAGGGGGCGGAGGCACCCAGCCACGCGGGGACCAGCTCCTTCTCTCTCCCCTGTCACGTGGGGGGCTCCCCCCACCTCTTAGAACCCGGAGGGCAGGAGGGGCGCAGAGTGAGGCCTGTGGAGTTACGGTGTTGGATTTGAATCCTCTACCCCGCTTCTTGGCTCTGTGGCCTTGGGCAAGCGACCTCCCGTCCGGCGTCAGTCTCCACATCTGTGAAACGGGGGTGACAACTGTGACCCCCCCGCACGGGGCGGGTGTGAGCGTGACACGAGGGCAGGCTCCGATGTGCGCTGCCCCCAGGGGACAGGACAGCTGGGGGGAGGGCGCACACACCACATTGGGCCCGCCCGTGGCCCGGGGCCGTCGAGACCCGGGCCCGGACGTCATGTGCAGTAGTCACCATGCGCACGGGGGAGGGGTGCGGCTGGGCGAGCACGCGGGCGCACGCGCAGATGGGGCCGCTCGTGGGGTGGGGTCCGTGCTGCCCGGGCAGGCGCACGCGAGGGACCGAAGGGAGGACACTAGGCAGAAGGTGCAGGCGTGGATGTGCTTGGATGGGGACAGACGCGGTGCCGGGATGGGGACACGGGGGGGGGGGGGGGGGGGGGGGGGCGCAAAACGGGGCGCCCCCCCCCGCGGGGGGCCGCCCCCCCCCCCCCCCGCCGGCGCAGAAAGCGGCTCGCACCCGGGCCGGAGGGCGCACCGGCCTCGTCTTAACCTGACCGCGTGAAGGCCTGTCTGTTGAGCCGGGAGGGATGCCCAGACGCGGGGAAGCACACTCAGGGCCTCTAGGGGCCTGCCCCGGAGCGCCAAGGGCTGTTCTTTCCTGCAGGGCCCCGGGCCAGGCTCCCCCACTCCCTCCCGCCTGCCCCGGTTCCCCCAGGCCCCATCTCAGGAAGCCCTAGAAGGGCCTGCGGAGATGCGGCTGGGGGCAGGGTCCAGCCAGGCTATTTGCATCCAGGACAGGCTGTTCTAGGAAATCCTCCTAAGTGAGCCTCCGCCGGCCCTAACCTCATTCCCACCAGGCCCCGTGGCAACAGGGAGCTGTCGCCCCTGCCGCACGCACCCACATACGCACACGTGTGCACGCGCACGCACGTGCACGCGCACGCCGCCTGCAAGGCTGACCCCGCCCCCACCTGCCGGCCATCCTGGGTCCCACCGGCTCCTGTCCCCTGGGACGGCCTGGGCTCCCGGCTCCAGAGGCGACACTTGGCTGCCAGGCCTCTTGGGCCTGCCGACCCAGGGCCCCGGACACACTCACTCCCAGCACCGTGTGTGTTGGGGGCTATGAGAGCAGCAGGGTTTGTGACACAAAAGCAGCTGACTTCCCCGGTGGCCCTGGGGCGGCTGGTTCCCACATCTGTAGCACCACCAGCAGGACCCAGCATTGAGGCCGAGGGAACACGGTTGGGGACAAGGCTGGGGGCGGGGGGCCAGGACACGGGCGGCAGGAGACCCCCACGCCCGCGACAGCAAGCCTCAGAGGCGGGCCGTGACTCTCACCAGGGTGACTCTGCCCGGGGACGGCAGCGGCTGTCACATCGGGGGGCCCCTGGCGTGGGGGGTGCAGGCGAGGACGCTGCTTGGCCTGCGGTGCCCGGGGCACCTCCACAGGGAGTGACCCTCCCCGACGTCAGCGGTGCTGGGTGGGAGGGCACACCCCTCACCATGTGCGGGTCCCCTGTGGGCCTCGGTGGGTGGGTTTCAGTCTAAAATTTTTTTCTCCTGCTATTTATTTATGTGTTTGTTTGTTTGTTTGTTTATTTGTGAGAGCGCCCGTGCGTGAGCGGGGGAAGGGCAGGGGGCGAGCGAGAGAGAGAATCCCAAGCAGGCCCCCCGCTTGGCACAGAGCCCAGTGTGGGGCTCGATCCCACGACCCTGAGATCGTGACCTGAGCTGAAATCAAGAGTCAGACGCTCGACCGACTGAGCCCCCCCGGGTGCCCCTAAAATACATTCTGAAGTGATTTCTAAACATGCCCGTCGGCAGGCCCCACTGCACCAAGATTCTGGTCCCCCCGGGGGAGCCGGGCCCGGGACTCTGCCCCAATTCCTCCCCAGCTCTCCCGTCTGGAGGCTGGCAGGGACGGGGCGCGGGGAGGAGGGGCGGGGGCTCCCCTGAGTCTTGAGGGCCAGCACGTGCCCCTCACCGGGATGGCCTGTCCCCTTCACGACAACAGGGACTCCTGTGCGCGGTCTCTGTGGAGTCCTTGTGCACCCTTGGCACACCATTCATTCATTCATTCATTCATTCATTCATTCATTCATGGAGGAAGGTGCCAGAGGTTGAGCCGGAGGCTGGTAGGGTCCCTGAGGGCCACAGCTGCCCCGGGCAGCCGGCGGCCCGTGTGAGGCCCGTCCACACAGGAAACTCCCAACGGGTCAGTGAGCCAGACCCTGGTCTAACGGCTACAGGGGCTCTCTCCCATTCTATCCTCTCGATGGCCCCGCGAGGAAGGTTCTGTTCCCTTACCCCGGTGAGGAGGAGTCTGCGGGCGCAGGGCCACTCTGGGCCTCGTCGGCGTCCTCCCAGCTCACCCCTGCCTATTGGGGCTTTAGGACGGCCCCTCGTCTCTGCCTACCCTGCGGGGTACGGGGTGCCTCCGGAGGGTGGGGCAGCCTGAGCCGTCTCTGTCTCTGGAGGGAGAGAAGGCAGGGGCCAGGCCGTGACGTCAGGGGCCTCTGCTGCCACCAGGCTCCTCGTCCCGTGGGCCATGTGACCCCGGGCAGCCCCTCTCTGCTCTGAGCCTCGGTTTGCCCCCCTGGATGATGGGCTCCCAGCCCCCTCGCCCACGGGTGCTGGCAGGAGGGGGGGCAGGGGCTCTGACTGCCTGCAGGCCTGTGACCCTCTGGCTCCTCCCACACAGGCATCTCGTCCCCGGTGAAGAAAACAGAGATGGATAAGTCACCTTTCCACAGCCCGTCTCCCCAGGACTCCCCCCGCCTCTCCAGCTTCACCCAGCACCACCGGCCTGTCATTGCCGTGCACAGCGGTGAGCACGTGGGCCCCAGGCAGGGAGGGGCGGCTGGGCCCTCTGATCGGGCACCCCCCCCCCCGCTTGGGCCGGGGAAGTCCCTCTGGCCGTCTGACCGTGAGTCCCGGTGCCATAGCCTCCCGGCTGGGCCACAGCACCCAGAGGTGTCATGGTGCGGAGCGCCTGGCCCTGATTCAGGCTCTGAGGCCTCAGTTTCCCCCTCCGTACAGGAAGGAGGTACAGTCTGGGCTTGCCCGTCCCCCCGCTCCCCTTAGCTCACACTCCACCCCCACGGGGTTGGGTGGTCACAGAAGGAGGCAGACACTCCCGACGCATGGCTGGACACACACACAAGGACACACAGGCCATACGGGGGTGTTCCTGGCCACAGGGACAGGAGGCCTCACACGCGACAGGAGGGAGACCGACTTGAGCAACCACAGGGCACGAGCCGAGCTGGTCACGGTGCACCTGGCTCTCCTTTGCTTGTCCGTCCACGGGGGCTCATAAACGTCCCCCTCCCAGGGCTGTCTTTCGGGCCGAATGGGCTAATCGCGGTAAGGGCTCGCGTATCGCCTGTCACCCCATTGTCCTGATGGTGACGATTTCGGTGCACACAAGGGCAGGCACACACGCAGGGAGGCAGGCGAGAATCAGAACAGTGCAGTGGTTCGGATCACGAGTCGGCAGACCAGGCCCACGGCTGCCTGTTGTTGTAAATAAAGTTTTATTGGTGCACGGCCCTGGCCGTCCATTTGCCTGTGGCAGCTTTCAGACTTCAGCGACAGAGGCAAGTGGCTGTGAGAGACCGTGGGGCCTGAAAAGCCAAGAAGACTTACTCTGGCCAGGAGCTAGAGAGAGGAAGGGGGCGTGAGCTACCTTGGGGGTGACGGGAACGTTCCAGAATTACAAAGCGAATATACTAGAAGTCACCGGATCGTTTAAAAAGAGAACGCAAGCGAATAACACACGGGCTCGCCACTCAGCCACGCACAGGGGCGGGGTGCCCCCACCCACTGCCCCACGGACGGACCCCGACACACGATGCTCGGGGAGGGACCCAGACACGAGGGGCCCCAGAGTATCTGAAACCCATTTCTGTGAAACATCCAGAACAGGCTCATCCCTGCACAGGAAGGGGGACTCATGGGGGGAGGGGAGTGTGGTGGCTGAGGGGGACGGAGTTGCTTCTCGGGATGATGAAAATGAGCCATCGTAGCAGTGGTTCCACGGTCCCCAGTCGTGCCAAAGCCCAGTGAAGTGAATACTCGGAAAGGGTGAACTTCATAGTATGCAAATTGTATCTCCACGGTAAAAACAACAGTGACCACCGGCCCCTTGCGGAAAGAGCCAGCCGAGCCCTGGGTTAGGGTGTGGGCCGTGGGGCCAGACCCTCCCCCGGGTCTGCTGCCTGGTCTCTGGGGGGAGCAGGCGGAAGGGACGTAACCTCTGACGGCCACCTCATCGTCCGGTTTAATAACAAAACCGGGGTGGCAACAGAACGCCGTGGGCTTGTGGTAGAACGTCATCGAATCTGGGCGTGTAAGAGACAACAGGGCCTGGCCAGTGGCAGGGCTTGCTGGATCCTGCTCTGTTCTTATTGGAGGCACCGGGGCGCAGGGGACACCCGCACCCCGAGACGCAGCCTCCAGTGACCGTCCCGTCCCGGTCTCCACAGGGATCGCCCGGAGCCCTCACCCCACCTCGGCCCTGCACTTCCCCACGACCTCCATTCTGCCCCAGACGGCCTCCACCTACTTCCCGCACGCGGCCATACGCTACCCACCTCACCTCAACCCCCAGGACCCGCTCAAAGATCTCGTGTCGCTGGCCTGCGACCCAGCCAGCCAGCAACCTGGACCGGTGAGTTTGCGGGGGGGGGGGGGGGGGGGGGGGGGCGGCGCGGGCCTCCCCTCGGCCCCACGGGCCGCCTGCCCACGCGGGGCTCCGGGCGACGCCCCCCGGGGCCCCAGCTGTCACTCAGCCTCCGTGTTGAATGGCCTTGTGGATGACAGGGCCGCCACCTTCCCTTGTCTGAAGCGCCCGGGGCCGGGCCAGGTCAGAACCGAGGCTCTTGCGCGTGTTGGAACCGACGGCGCGTAGCTGGCCCCAAACCCGCCACGGTCCCGTGGCTGCGGCGCGGGCCCACGCTCGCCAAACTCCCGCGGAAGCTTTTGGGGCTCAGAGCGGTTGTGCCTTCCGGAGCTGGGGCCGAGGCGGTTGGCCGCAGGCCTGCCGGTGAAGGAGGCGGGGCGCGTGCGGACCCAGCCGCGAGGCCGGGCGTCGTTTAGGGTGAGGCGGCGTCTCGTGCAAGGAGACCAGAGGGAAGAGAGCGGCTCGAGGAGGGGACGAGGGGCCCCCGATGCCGCCGCGGGCCTGCGGGCTCAGGCGAGTGGGCACCAGAGGCACCCACCAGACTCGTCCCGGCCCCCGGCCGGCCCGGCCCGGCCCTGCTGCCCCTCAGGCCCTCCCCCGGCGGGGCCCGCAGACGGCCGCCCGGGGCAGGGGGGCGCCCGCCGCCTTAACCACCTGTCTCTCTGTTCCTCCCAGTTAAATGGAAGTGGTCAGCTCAAAATGTCCAGTCACTGCCTTTCTGCTCAGATGCTGGCGCCCCCGCCCCCTGGGCTGCCGCGGCTGGCGCTCCCCCCTGCCACCAAACCCACCTCCGAGGGAGGAAGCACGTCGCCGACCTCGCCCTGTAAGCACTCGGGAAGCGGTGCCCGTGGCAGGGCGGGCGTCCCTGAGGGGCCCCCTCCCCTCCCCTCCCCGACTGCTGGGGCCCGGGGCTCGGGCCCGGCCTGCCGGGTGCTGGTGAGTTTGGTGGGTCCCCAGACGGAGGCCCACAGGGGCCCAAGGCAGCCTTAGGGAATGGCAGGAGAGGGCCGGGGGCAGTCTGGGGTCCCCGCGCGCCTGCTCCCGGTGATAAGCGCCCTCCTCTGTGCGACGAGCAGGTGGCCGTAGGCGAAGATCTCAAACTGGCGGCCCTGGGGGCAAAGGGAGCCCCCAGAGGCCTTGTGTTTGTGCAAAATGAGAATTTGTCGTTGTCGTAGAATCAGGACAGCTCACCGGAAAATTTCCGGAGTTCTAGACTCTTGGGGGAGAAAGCAGCTGAAATGGGCCCGGCTCCTGCCGGGTGCCCAGGCTGGGCCACGCCTCTAGATGGGACAGCCCCCACCTGACCCCAGAAGGCCTTGAGTTGACTGCCTCGCCTTCTAGAACTTTCCACGCTCTGGATGCGGATCCAGGTGACAGCTCGCTGGCCCCTCATGCACCGCCAGCCTGGGAAGCGGCTCCCAGAATCGCACTCCCGAGGTCCACCCATCAACGGTGGCCCTGCACCCAGGCTCTCCCTGCACCCCAGTGCGGGCTTGGGCGGGCCGTCCACCCTCCTCCAGGCTGCCTCACTCTGGGCCACCGTCCTCTGGGCCATCCCGTGAGGCCGTCTCAGTCGGTGTCCCCGAGCAGATGGTCTCAGAGACCCCCGACCCCTCAGTCTGGCCCCCACACTGGCTCTGAGCGTCTCTCTCCTTTCCTCCGCAAATGAGGTTCCTCACCCGCCTTGAGCAGGAGGGACTGTCGGTTCACCCCCTTCCCCACATGCGCACCCCCTGCCGCCAGCATCCACCGCCTTGCAAGGGGCCCAGGACAGCTTGCGTACCGACGGGCTGTCTCCGAATGCCGCGTGCGGCGCAGAGCGCCGGGTTTGAATCCCGTCTCTGCAGCTCGCTCCCTGTGTGTCTTCGGGGAAATGCCCTCCCCTCTCTGAGCCTCCGTTTTCTCAGCTGCAGAATGGGACGGTCACAGAGCGCCCCGTCGCAGGGCTGTGGGAGCGAGCCGATGAGATAGATCGGAGAGAACAGTCAGTGCCCCACCAGGCGCAGAGTAGGGAGCAAATACGCGGGGACGGTGACCTCCTTCCCCGTCTGTGCAGTGGGGCTAATGATCCCGTTTGCTAGATCGAGGCTACTGCGGGTTGAGTGGGACTGTGCCCGGTGCCTGGCACAGACCTGGATTCCTCCCCCTTCCCCTGCACGCGGATTTCACCGGCAAGTCCGGCCTGCCGCCTCTCCCGCCAGACCCCCACCCCCCACCCCAGGGCCTCACGCCCCCCACATACCCCACCCTGGCTGATGCTACCAAGGGACCGTCCCGCCCTCCCCCCCCGGACCCCGGGCAGCCCTGGGCATCGTTTACTTGCCAAGAAAATGTAACCGGTCAGATGAAAGCCTCCGCGGCAACGTGTGTGTACGCGCGCGCGCGCGCGTGTGTGTGCGCGCGCGCGTCTGTGTTGCAAACCCCCGGCCTTTCCCCTCGAGCAGCCTCCGAGAGGAAAATTAATAAGTAAAGCGCCCTCAATAATTCATGGCGCCCCGCGCGGGCTGCAGGCCGCGGTAGCAGGACCGAAGCACACCCTGAATAATTCACAGGCGGTTTCTGATCATGCATCTCATCTCGTGCCTGCGCTCTCAGCGGATGCCCCGCCCGGATGACCCCGGGGCCCGAGACCGTGGGCTTTCCGGGGCTGACCCGGATCGGCTGGGGAGGGCAGCGAGCTTGGAGGCGCCGGGTGCTGGGTGCGAAGGCCCGGCTGTGTGACCCTGGGCAGCGGCCACCCTCTCTGGGTGCTCCCGCGCAGCCCCCTGCGCTAACGGGCTCTCGGTCTCTCTCCTCCCCGCAGCCTACTCTACGCCCGGCACGCCCCCTGCAAACCGTTCCTTTGTGGGATTAGGACCAAGGGATCCAGCGGGCATTTATCAGGCACAGGTAGGGGCCGAGAGGCCGGCTGGGGCGGGGTAGGGAGGGGCAGGGCAGAGGGGCCTGCCTGGGCACGCAGGGAGAGGCAGGACGGCTGGTCCCATGCCGCCCCTCCAGCTGCACCCCTGGCACGGGAGCCAGCTTCCCATACCCTTCCAGGGCCTCGAGCCCACGCCCAGGAACGTGGTACGGCCCCAGACCCTGTGTGTCACCCCCCAGCGGGGGACACGGCAGAGCTGCTGTGAGGCCGGGCTTTGTGACCGCCCCAGGCCCGTTTGTACAGATGGGAAGACTGAGGCCCGCAGAGGCGAAGGGATCTGCCCAGGATCACACAGCACGTCAGCCCAAGCTTGCAGCCCCCGAGCCTTTGTCCCCGCCCGTGCTGCTGGTCGGAGGGACCATGAGAAAGGGGGACAGGGGGTGGCAGTGGACTCTAGGACTCGGGGGGCAGGTGGGGAAACTGAGGCAGCCCATGGCAGGGGGCGGGGCCTCCCGGGAGAGCACGTGCACCCCCACCCCAGGCTCCAGTCCCAGAGGTGGAGAGGGGAGCAGCAGGGGCAGAGGCGGCATTGCTCCACGGAGTGGGCGCCAGGGTGGGGAGAGGGGGATGGGCCGGGCCGGGACACGGAGGCTCAGAGAGGAGGAGTGAGTTGCCTGAGGCTGCACAGCCGTGGAGGGCAGAGCCCCAGTGGGTCCGGAACTAAGACCGGTGGCTCCCAGCTTCCCGCAGGGTTGGGGTCTGGGTCTGTGCCGCACGCGGGCCGGGAGTGTGCTGCCAGATGGTGTCTGGGGGTGGTGGCTGGGCCCCGGGGCCCCCACCCCCCCAGGGCAGCCCCTCCGGTGCCCAGATGCACAGAGGAAGCAGCCCGGGGCTCCCCAGCATCTCCCAGTTGCCGGAACCGCAGAGCGTGGGCATTTGTGGGACCCCGGGGGCCACATTTGGTTGCTCCCGGGACCGTGGGAGGGTTTCCTGCAGCAGAGTCCATGCGCAGGGACTGAGGGGGACATCGGGTACCTGGTAGCTACATCCCCCTTCCTCGGCGGGGACCAGAATCGGCCGGGGACCCTCCGGGGCGGACCTGGTTGCTGCTGGCAGCTCACCGGGGCCAGAGTGTATGGAGAGGAGCCAGCCGTCGCCCTCCCTCCCTGCCCGGGCCTCAGCAGTGAGTGCTCGCCCCTGACTCTGCTCACCCACTCTGAACCTCCGTCTCTTCTTCTGGCCTTGGACACTTCCCGGGGGAGAGTCTTGGAAAGGCCCGCAGCCGTCGAAGCTGGACCAGTTTTATCTAGAAAGGGCTCCAAAAGGCAGACACTGTCCCACATACCTTCCACACCCCGAGTATTAAGTGTTGTGCCTTGCTCAGAGTCACCCAGAAAGCTGGGGTGACTCCAGGACTCCCCACTTTGAGTTTGGGGTACCCCGTGGGCCACCCTCTCTAAGCCCTGGCGTGGATACTCCCACCCCCCAGGGCTCTGGAACCCATGCATTTCCTCACCGCCCCCAACCCCACATCCCCAATGGGAGGGGGGGAAATGTCCTGATTTCTTCAGAAACCAAAGGTAATAAAAATGACAGGGAGGAGGCCTTGCCTGCTTAGCCCTTCCCCAGGTCCCCACCCCCCTGCCGCACCTCTCCATTATCGACCGCCACGCAGGGGTCCACCCCAGCAGACATCCCAGAAGAGGAGGGAAACCGAGGCAGACCAGGGCAGTGCTTTGGTTCTGCGTGCTTCTCATTTCCCCCTATGGTCCAGTGGGGCCCAGACTGGTAGGAACCTGGGGGAGGGGGCCTCCAAGGCCCTGCCTGGGGAGGGAGGGGTTGGAGCTGCTGCAGAAGTGGCTGGCAGGAGCGAAGGATCAGGGTCCCCGGGCAGGGGACTTGGCACCGACAAAGGCTAGAAACGCCAGAGAAGCAGCTTGAATGTGGGGTTTGTCCTGAGGGCCGTGGGGAGCCATGGAAGGGTTGAGAGTGAGGGAGGGGCACAACCAGATCTGAGAATGAGAAAGAACTCTCGGAGGCTGGCATTGGTGGGGTGTGTGGGGCACGGAAGGGAGATGTCGGATTGATGGGAGACTCCCAAGGGAGCCTGGGTCGTAGAAGAGGTGAGGCCTGAGTCCGGGCGAACGGGAGGGCATCCCTGGGAGAGACCCTGCCCACGCTGCTGTTGGCTGGACCACAGATCTGTGGACTAGGGGCACCCCAGTTCCCTGGGGGTCAGGTGCCCCTCTCTGCTCCCTGCAGACCCTGAAGGGAAGGAAGGGCGGGGAGGAGGAAACCATGAGACCCTGTTCCCCACTCTCGGAGCCCCTGTGCAAAGGGCTCAGAGGCCTCTCATTTCTGACCTAGTCAGCACTTCTGCGTCTGCCTTCATTATTCCTGGGAGGTTTGCTTTCCTCTGCGCCCCCCCCCCCAGCCCCCAATCCCAGCCTAGAGCAGCTCTGTCCCTCCCCACGCCCTTGCCATCCTCTGCGTCCTCGCCGGTGCCCCTCCCCTGATCAATATCCCCCTCCTCCATCCGTGCCCCTCCCCCATCAATTTCTCCTCCCCCATCAGTGTCCCTCCCCCAGGTCAATATCCCCTTCCCCATCAATATTTCTCCCTGGTTAACATCTGCTCCCCCATCTACGCCCCTCGCACATTGGTGCCCCTCCCCCCGGTCCATTCAACTGATCGCCCTCTGGTCAATTACCTGCCTTCACCTCCCACGTAAATCCCCCCAGCCCTGAGCCATCCGTCACTTTTTTGGTCCCCAGGTTGGGGCTCCGCGGACCCTGATACCTCAGCCCCCTCCCCGATGTGGTGGGGTCCCGCCTCCAGCATTTCACACCAGGACCCTTTCTGCCCAGGAGCACATGACACCCGTCCAGCAGATAGATGAGCCAAGGACCAGAGGGGTTAAGCCGCGTGCCAGAGCCTCACTGGCAGCTCCAGCCAGGCCGGGGGTGGGGGGGGGGGGGAGTCCGCAGCCGGGACCTCACCCCCGGTTCCTCACCTCGGTCCCCCAGTCAGCGGAAGAGGAGGATGTTAAGTTACTGGGACCAGAGGCCTGGGAGGGAGGAGGGAGGAAGGGAGCAAGGGCCAAGGGGAGGCCACCATGGGGGAGGGTCACGCCCAGAGTCTGTCTGGTTGCCAACAGAAACCAGACATGAGGTAATGGCCAAGATGAACTTGAACTTGGCTGGAGGTGGGGGGCTGGGAGCCATGGCGCCAGTTCATTGGGATGGCCCACAGGGCGGCCTGGTTGGAGGGGCACGATTGATTTACAGCAGGGGTGGGGGGGGGGCAGCGCTACTCAGCATCAGTTGAGGCGGGGGGGTCCCCAGGCCGGCCCCACGCAGGTGCAGTCGATGCATTTCCAGGGGGAAGGGTCTGTTCCCCGTGACTTCCCTGTGGAGACCAGGACTGGAGCTGTCCCCGATCCCGAGCCTCAGTACCACCCCCCCACCCCCGCCCCACCCCCACCCCCCTGTAAAGTGGAAGTCATGGCCCCTCAGCGGCCAGGCCAGAGGTCCGACCTGGGCAGGGGAGGAGCGGGGGCCGGAACCACACAGGCCCCAGCCTCAGTTCCACTTTGGTGCTCCCACGCTGGTGGACTTAGGCAAACGGCTTGACCTCTCTGGGCCCCTGTCTTCCTCACTTTGAAATGGGGTGGCGGCCAGGGTGGGGGCAGCGTTTGTTTAAAAAAAGAAAACGAAAGGAAACAGCCCCGATCGATCGCGTGGCCTGGATATAAGGGGGCACATCCTCTCCCCTATTCTGTGCTCAGGGCACTGAGGCTCAGAGACCTGGTTCTCAACAAAACCACAGGACGCTCGAATAGATTGACATTGCAGGTAAAGAAAAGATAAAAAACAAATCAATTAAAAGAAAACCGTGGTAGCATTAAGTATATTCTGCAAGCCGCATGTTACGTGCCGGAAGCTTTCTCTGGGGCTTCTCCAGAATTCAGATTTCACTGGGCATCCTGTACTTTGTGTAGCAGCCTTGCTCTGGGGCAGGCACTCGCCCAGGGTCACCCAGCAGGTTATGACAGGTCCGGGAGAAGGGAGGCGGGGGTCACAGGTCACAGGGAGGTGGGTGTGGGCAGTGGCCAGCGAGGTCAACAGGAGAGTCTGACCCCCATCTCTCTCTCTCTCTCTCTCTCCCCCCCCCCCCCTCCCCTCTCTGTGTCCCTGTCGGGCACCCAGTCCTGGTATCTGGGATAAGAAAGATTTCTTCCCACGCCCTGCTCCTCCGTCGCGGAAATCCCAGGGGGCCGCACAGCCGGCCCCTGGCCCACGTTTTCAGTGGAAAGTTACAGCAAGCAAGAACACCCCGCCGACTCCCAGCCTGGCCGAAAAGACAAAACAGGCACATACGTACACACAGGAGGAAAACAAGCAAAAAGGAAAAAAAGGCAAAAAAAACAAAAAAAAAAAAACAAAAAAACAAAAAACCATAAAAATCAACCCACCCAACCAAGAAGACAAAAGGTGAAGACAGCAACTGTTCAGACTCTCGGGACGCCACCGCCGGACCAGAGGGCCAGGCCCAGCCACCACTCGGATCGGAGGAGGTCGGGGCGTCTTCCTAAGTTATTCATCTCCTCTGGCTGCTGCTCCGGAAGGTCGGGCGCCCGCTCCCCGCCTCCGCCCAGGACCAGGTGAGCGCGGCCTGGTGCCCCTGCCCAGGCCCCACGGGGCAGGACACCCAGCCAGGCCACCTCTGCCCGATGTGGGCCGGGCCTCCGCCGAGCGGGGACGCAGGCGCTGTGGGGACGGTGGGGGGCCGGCGAGGACCCCAGCCGCGGGCAGCAGAGGCCGCCCTGGAGGCCCCGGGCGGGCAGGGAAGCCGCGAGGGCAGAAGAGGGTTGTGGGGAGACCCTGCCTGTCTCCCGGGGACTGGGACGCGCGGCCGAAACTCTCTCCGGAGCGTCCTGCCCCGACGCGTGCACGCGCCCGGCTGGGCTCGCTCGGGACTTGGTCTTTCAGCCCCAGGCCTGCCCTGTTTGGGAGGAGAAGTCTCTATGCAATTGACCCCCAGCTCCACCCCTCGGCATTGGAGGCCACCCCACCCCGCACCCCGCCGCCGGCCCTGCTCCACACGCGCCCCCGGGGAGGGACCCACGTTGCACACACTGTAAGAAATGCACTTTCCGAGGAAGGGGCTGGGGCGCGTGGAGAGACCCAGAGCTCCCCGGGAGGGGACACCTGTCTGGAGCCTCCATCCACCCGAGCCCTGGGAGGGGAGCCCCCCCCCCCCCCCCCCCCCCCCCCCCCCCCCCCGCCGCCACGTAGCCCACGGAGGTGGGAGGTGAGAGCGAGTGGTTTAAGTGCCTGATTCCCACCGCCCGCCCCCCTTTGTCCAGCTGGGATGCGAAATGGCCGGGGGCCCCTTCCGTTCCCCCCCACAGCCCGGCTGCCTCCAGTCACTGACTCTCATTGCTGTGCCCCCCTCAGAGCTAGATGGGACCCCCCCCACCCCCCCCACGGTCGGCCCAAGGGGCAGAGCTGGGCGTCCCTCAAGCCCTGCTGCGCTCGGGCACGGGGGTGGGATCTGGGGAGCCAGCGGGCCCTCCCTCGCCTCCTCTGCCAGTGCCTTACATCCTGGAGCGACACCCCCTCCCTGGTGCCTCCCGGCCCAAAGGGGGACCACGGTTTGCACTTTCAACTTCCCCCCGCCGAAGTGGGGCGCAGCCAGGGAGGTGCATTGTGGCCGGGCCCCCACAAGGGAAGCCGGCCGGTCACTGTAGTCCACGTAGGCCTGGATGGGGTCGGGGGTGGGGGGTTCTGGCCAGGGGAGGGAGGGGCCGGCGCCTAGGGGGGGTCCCCTGTAGCCATGTAGGGGACCCCCCATCCGCTAAACGTTTTCCGTTGAGCCGCTCCAAAAACACTAAGCTGGGGACACCGGGTGCCCCCCAGCCCCGGCTCCCTGGCCCCACCCCACCTCCAGCCCGGGATGGCCATCTTGGGTGGGGGGCCTGGGAGGGGGTGTTAGGTGTTCCCGGGTCAGCAGGCCCAGACACAGGGGCCCCTCCCATCCCGTCCCAGGCCCAGCTGGCCTCCTCCATGCCTGGCCCTGGGGGAAACCTCCCCCACCGCAGCCCCCCACCCCCCGCCTGGGCCAAAGCCATCGCCCTGGGGAGGGCCTCCACACCACCTGCTCCCAGCCTGGCCCTTCTCCCCCTCTCCCGTGCCCCAGGCCTGGCCAGCCTCTCCCACCTCCCCAGAAACTGGACTTTCCTCCCAAACCAGCCCAAGGGGCTTGGCAAACCCACTCGACCATAGAGAGAAAGACCCGTCCCCACCGACCCCCCTCCCATCGTCCAGAGGCTTCCAAGAGCCCTTGGTCCGTCCGTCTGTCCCCAGGGCCCCCTCCACCGGGTGGCCGTAGGGGACCAAAGCATGGGCCGCTCTTCCGGGAGGGCAGGAGGGGGTGGGTCGTGCAGTTGGGGTATCCGGAAGCTTCTCAGCCGGGAACCTTAGGGTGCGGGTAGGCAGGGTAGGGGAGGGGCGCCTGGCACCCCCCAGCTACCTAACTTTGCATGGTGCTTAGTCGGGGATTCCTGTGACCTGGCTCCTGATGTCAGCTCGCTGTGGCTGACACTGCATGGCAAATGATACCTGGCTCTGTCT